TTTTGAAAAATCAAGAAAAAAGTGAAAATTTCCCTTCTCGCTACCTTAAGTCCAGAATGGGGCGCAGCCACCTGTAGTCTTTGGAATTACCAATACTTGCGAGTAGAAGCCTGGACTTAAAGGGGAACTAAATAGAGCCTAATTTGGTGTTTGTATTTATCAAGTTATGTATTTTGATTATAAATTTGAAAAAAATTATTATCTTCAGAGTTATGATGATTTAAATATGAGAAACCATAAACCTGCAAAGGACTTCCGTTTGCGCCATCTTGCCATAAAAAGCGCCCCCATGAGGTATAAACAGGAAAGGTAACAAAGTATGATGACGAAATAGTATCTGATTAAATATAAGCAACTTAGGGAGCCATAGTTGGCTGGACTGGTGAATTGACTAGGTTGTTTTGACTTTTACGTTAATGTTATTTACAAGTGTATCAACATACAAACATTATGGATGTGCGATTTTATTACAATATGATTTACATACCGTCTGAATTAATGAAATAATGGGTAGGGTCTGTGGGGAAACAGTCAAAGGCATTTATCATTATCTTCGTTTTGGTATGTTTTCGATCATACGCAAACTTGACGCAAAGCAATTTTCCACCATGAGGTGTTTCAGCACGATTTGACCTGAAACAACTTCCTTTGACCTAACAGGTCATGTCTGTCCTTAACCCATCAAAATGATTATTGACGATAATTTTTTAACGCAATGCGGAAGTGAATTACTGCAATCTTAAAATGTGATCTGTAGCACTGATTCCAACGAAAAAAACGATCACATTTTTGTCTTTTCGAAAGCTACTACCCAAAGAAATATGGATTACTCCAGTATTGCAACATCAGGGTTCATCCTGAGTAAATGACAGAATAGAAAGGATGCGAATGAAACACACTTTTTACACGCATATTTTAAAGAATATCGTTGACGCCCAGTAAAAACACTCTGGGCTTATAATCATGAATGCCCTCAACTCGATAAATATCTAGTAAAAATAGAGGGATGGGCTTCATACTCAGGAGGGGCTTACGATCAGGGAAGTACGGTACTTTAACGTAATTGGGCTTCCAGTCTCAGAATACTGTGGTTCAAACGCATAATGCTCTAACCCAAGTTCTAAAAAGCACATTGTGCATATAAAAATTAAGTTTATACTAGTAGTACACAATGCTTGGCAGCATGAACGGCTATGTACAATGGCGTATACGAGTGCAATCAGATACTAAAACGTCATAGCTTTGAAAAGTACCCGGATGTTAAATATGTTCGTTCGTTATTTATTCCCCTCCATGAATGGCCTCCATGGTGTTAAATTGCAAGCACTTCAAATGTCTATCCAAGCTACAGTTATAATTAAAACAAAGTTAAACCACTGCATTATTATTTCGAATACAGTTTAGAATATACACAACCATAAATTAAGGCCGCATTTAGGTTCACTTTAACGCCGGGTCCCCTTCCTGTGTATAGCGTCCTTTGTAAGCAAACTGCCATCTGGAGAGTCCAGGGATCGGTCACATGCTGCCTCCTAACCAGAATACACCAGCGCAATGAGTGCGACAGATGTATCGGTTCGGCATTCGACATCGGGGGTGATCTCTCCTCCGCTGAGGTGAAACCCAGAGAGACCTGTAGAAGTTGATAGGCTCCGACTCTGCCTCCCGCCGAACATATGCCCATCAACCTTGTCCCAAGCGGAAGCATCAAACCTGCTTTCCCTGCAAGCTGGGTAGGTGACCCCTGAGGAAGGGTGAACCACCACCTGGTCCCTTCTTCCTGGGAGGCGCATCACCACTTTTTCCTCCCCCGGAAGGCCAGTGGGTGTCGACTTTGGTCATTATGTTTTCTCAGCTTGGGGTCCTTACCGCTGACAGAAGCCAAACGAGGTCTAACGTGTACCAACTGGTCAGTGGGATCCCGAAGGGTGGGTGAGGTCAAGTCGGCATAACTGAGGTGGTGAAGTGTCCAGTGAAAACAGCAAAAAACGCAGTCCGCTGTACAGAGGCAGCCATGAGAGCCAGATGACACTGTGGGATATCCTGCGTAGCCGTGTGGTGTCTCACCAATGGCTGTTTCTGCTGGTCTAAGAGGCTGATGCATTCTGCTTTTGAGTGCTGGCGGGGCAAAACAATGCGTTTCAGTGGGCTGGCCACAACTCAAAGGTTGAGGCCATCTGTGGACTAGGTCTTGGCAGAGAGACCCGGTACCACCAGTCTGTACCCCTCCTGCCTCCCAAAAATAAATGGGAAGAATGGGCTGGGATCGGGGGGATCCCAGGAGGAAGCATCATGCATGCAAATATAGCCTGCTGGTGTGCTTCCGGCTTGCCAAAACAAGAGGCCACTGCAGTGGAAGCAACCTGCTCCCTCTGCATTTGATCTACCTGACCTGCAAGGGACGCAATTTGTCCCGGCAGGTCCTCAACCAAAGCCCAAATCTCGTAGGCAAGCTGTGCGAGGACAGGTCCACAGAAGAATCTGCAATGGGCCCCATTGGAGTAAACTGCGATGAAGCCCTCTGATTAGCAGGGAGGCCGAGAAATCACAAGACCTCCACTGTCGGGCCTCTCACATGTCGCCGCAGTATACAAGGCACCGGTAGACAAGCAGGAGGACTTTGTGCTCATGCTAAGCTCCACTCACTCATGCTCACATTACTGTACGCGCGACTTCTACAAACTAGAGCGACGTGGTCAGTCTCGGTAATTTGCAAGCGACCTTGGAAAGCATCCCAGGCCTCGGAACCCCAGTTGATACAAAACAAAATCACTAGGCAAAACCCTGAGCCCCACACAAAATACAAATAGCATTGCTCTGTAGGTTGCAAGCTGGTAATTCCCGGTGGCAACTACCGTACGATCGCCTCGATCTTTGGTGACCAAAAAAAAAACAAAAACAAAGGTGAAGAGCCTCTGGCGTGTTGCCCTTCTTGCTATCCATTTCTAACAACACATTGGTAAAAAATGAAGAAGACATGCATGAGAGGAACGAATTACAGTTAAAAGGCTGACACAAAGAGATCCAAAAATCATGGCCAAATGCGTCACCCAAATTTTTCTCTTTCTTGTAAGCATTGCACACAAAAAGACGACACAGGGGTAAACAAATAAGAAAGGCTTATCCTACCAGCCACAGCATCGGCTGCCACGTAGGTGACAACTAGTCAGACCAAAAACTCGCGCAACCTTATTACCTCGGTCATGTGGTTTGTGACACAAGGGGAAAATCTTGAGGTCATGGGGCTTCCCCTGACCTAGATTTCTCTCTCCGTCATGAATCATCGCAGATTAATGCCTACAGTTCAAAATAGTCATTTTGACTGACCGGAGTCTATGGTGGGTAATTGAACGTGGTGAATTGGACATTCAAGTGAAGTTGACATCAGTGGACATACCTTTCAAAATACATAGGTAGTATTTTTGAAAATACTTCATGTGTAGCTTTCACATCTCTGGCACAGTAACTCATTAATTCCTACAAAACAATCAATGAACAATTTTGAGTTGTATGTCATGTGAATCCAGTCATATTAAGTGACCTAATGGTAAATGTGGTCAGGTGTTGCATGGTGTGAATTGCATGCCACAAATGCAAAACAATTAGGAAATATTTAATTTGTCAAATAACTGTTCTTTTAAAACCACTCTGTCAATTTACTTCACTAAAGGTATTTTCACAGATAAAATTAAAAAGTATGTGACAATCTTTTTTTTGGTTTTACCTGGAATTGGTGTCGAATATCTTGAATGGAACCAGTAACAAACACTTTCCTTTCAGTCTTATCCAAAGCCAGACCATCGCAGTATAAACTATATACGTCACCAAGGTTATTGGGACTACTCACTTCAACCCAGTCATGTACCTACAAACAATAGAACTAGTATGCTTAATTAAGTGATGTTCAAATGTGTTGAAAGTTAGACAACAATCTTTGTTTAAAATCAATACAATAATGTCTGGAATCAACTTTGGGGAAAAAAAAAACGATCAATGAAAAATAAGACAAACAAATAATTTATATGACCGGGGGTATTATACATCTGTCACCATAAGTTACAGTGTGCCGTAATTTTGCAGTATTTTACAGGGTATTTTCTTCTTACCATGTTAGGAAATGTGAAATTGGAATGATTACGCGCATAAGTGTCCTCTAATAATAAAAACAACCATGGCTGCCACCAGGGTTTGACAGCACTCCACACAAAGAAATTTGCTGATTCTGTTCTAAACATTTTGGATTTTGGCTTTCCTATGGTGCATCCTTGGAAGGAAAAGATGTATAATAATAAGGTTACTACGAGGATACTTCAAAGTATGGTCTCAGACAGTACGCCGCGCATCAACTCCCGCTGCACGTCGGTCAAAACTCCAGCTGTACTGTCTTTGTGCATACTTTGAGGTATCCTCATAATAACCTCATAATCACCATAAAAAATTAATGTATTGAAATGAGAATAACCTGAATTACCATGGTAATTACAGAAGCAAAGTAATCAAACTACATCATCTGAGAAAAGCATAGTGATGTGCAAAAAGTACAGTAGTGTCATTGATGTAGCTCAGAATGGCAGAATAAACAATATGTCAATTGCAAAAGCTGTCATGTTTTTCAGATGTCAACAAGATTACATTATTTGTCATATATTATAACAAAGGTTTTTTATGTAATGGGAAATATTCGACTTACCAATGGACCTTGCAGTCGCTGTTGACTTTTTTTTAGGTGTTCTTTTACGTCTTGATTTCCAACATTTTTATTCTTTTTATGATAATTCCATAGTATTCTCTGAAAACTTGTTAAGCCTGATATTGCCATGTGAAAACTCATCGTATCAAGGTATCTAGTTTTTGGACCCTAATGGTGATGGCAAAAGTTGAATAAATTATTTATATTGCATTTAACTGACCTTAGAATTGACCTCTGCCAATTTATAAAATTTACTAATACATTGAGTGCTAGTGACATCACTATAATAAAATCATGAGAATGAGTATGTTCAGTTTACAGAGGAATTAAATTGGTTTAAAAAGTGAAAGCAATTTCAACCACCCACTTATTCAAAATGACGTGCTTGCTGATTGTGGATGTCAATCTCACTTGTTAATATTGAGTACAACTTACAATGAAGTTACAATACTATTTTTTGGATTGGTCAATTTGAAATCTAACAGCCATTTTGATATATAAAAATTTATATTTTTATACTGTTGCCAAATGGCCTACTTCCTCACATACAATGTACCCTAATACTTGTGCTGTTGTAAGGAACGTAATGGTGCAATGAAAGCCGACGCCCACCTTCATTAAATACTGTTCTTTTACAAGTGCACGATCAAAACTAACATTGTGACCAATAACAACTCCTGGCAACCATTCTCCATCAGATTGTTGTTGATCTAGAGGAATCAAATCTTTTAAGCCTATCTTCTGAGCCCATGAAAATCTATCTTCTGTGATTTGCTCACTGCACCAAGAATACCTGAAATTTAATACAGTCATTAAATGGAACATGATTTAATGGACAGACAGACAGATAAACATATAACTGACACACAGACAGACTAAAGCCATAACATAAGCCCCTGTTAACGTTTCAGACTACATCTGGGATCAAGTATAATGGCATAATCCAATGATGGTTTAATTTGGCCACCTGTGTACTCCTGTTCTCTTGTTTGGCCAAATGATTTTTATCCTGCCCCCCATTTCAGTTTATGATGTTCACATTCTTCCCCCTGAACATCGGTTTCTTCTCAATGACCTCATCAATACTCATGAGACCCAGCATGGCTAACAGAGATAATTTGGCTAACCTGTGGGAGGGGTGTTTGCTAAACATGGATAATTTGGCTAACCTGTGGGATGGGTGTTTGCTAAACATGGATAATTTGGCTTACCTGTGGGAGGGGTGTTTGCTAAACATGGATAATTTGGCTAACCTGTGGGATGGGTGTTTGCTAAACATGGATAATTTGGCTTACCTGTGGGATGGGTGTTTGCTAAACATGGATAATTTGGCTTACCTGTGGGATAGGTGTTTTGCTAAACATGGATAATTTGGCTAACCTGTGGGATGAATTTTTATTGTAATACAGTAGTTTTTTTTTTCTGATTTTGCTGGTACCAAGACAGTTTTACATTTTTTTTAATTTCAAACCTTTCTATATTTTAAATTGCTGTGTTGTTTAATAAATTGTACTTTGAACATTTACAAATACAACATCAATAAATTTATTTGACCAGTGTGCTTCTTACCATGCATTCTGTGAAACAGCAACTGCCATGGTTGGAAGTTTTCCCTCTGTCATGCAAACTTCAACATCAAAAACAAGGGCTCTATCTTCAGGATATGCAACTGACATTGTACTACCATTAGATTCATACTTAGTCCATCCATATTCTTTGATCCATTCAGTTGGCATTGTTGGAAGCTTTGCCTCAGCTAAACTTTCTGCTAACATAAGGTAGGTATTACTCTGTTGCTGAGCCAAAACTCTAAAGTGATCCTCTATATTATCTCCATAAAGCTCTGGAAGTTGAAAATCAACCTCTGGTAAGAGAGTACTTTGCTTTCCCCATAATCCATGTCGTTTTAGATGTTTTATACTCTTGTTTATTTTTTTTTCTTGTGATTCTGTGTTTGAAACTTCTCCAAACTTTTCTCGGAATATTTGTTGATGCAATGATTTCGATAACATCTGGATATGGATGGGGTTGTATCTGGTGCTTTCTTCTTCTGTCTTTTCTTGGTCAATGGCTTTGGATGTTGCAGCACTGAATCTATGCACATGTAATCCATTGGAGACAGATGGAAGGAATGTAACATTATTTTGGTGGAAGATGGAAGGCACACATTGCAGAATCTTTCTTGTAGCCATACTTCTGACAAATAGTTATGGCATGATTCTTGTAAGGGTTACAGCTAGCAAATAGAAAACACAAATTTAGACACAGATTTAGACACAAATAAATAAAAATTTGTCAATGAAAAATGAAAGTTTATATTTTCATAGAGTTCATGTAAAATTGACTTGGTGATCGAATTAGATGGGTATCTGATTTCAATTACATTTAGTGAACAATTTAACAAGTATATGCTACTTTTTTTTTACTCTTTTAACTAATATATTTGATTTATATTTCTTTCCTTTTCATGTAGTTATTTTTCTTTTACTAATATCTTGACTTGTAACCTTTTTCATCCGCTCCAGTGGGATGTTATTTGTTAATAAATAAAAAAGGATACCTGAAGTTGCATCGAGAAGGGGCAACCACATATACATCATATACCACATATACATCATATATATACAAGTGATTTCCTCTGTCAATTTGTTGTTGAGTGCCACCCTCCCATTTCCTGATTTCATCATTTATTTCTAGTGTTATTGTTACAATGTATCTCACTAATTACTGTCTGACATGGGTTATTTGCATTGTGTGGGCGTGGAAATTAATTCACGATTCACGGCTGACGACATTTACCAATCGACAAAGCTTTCCTGTGCCATAATAATACCTGACACATGTACTATAGATGGACCATCTCCTTTCTACCTCCATGGGGAATGATCGTGTATAATTAATTAAAACGCAGGAGAAGGCCATTGTTTCTGGCAGTAGAGTAGTCTTTAAATAACACGCCATGAACATTGAGAATACCAGAGGAACTCATTAAACATACCTATACTCTTCAAGACTACCACCAATAATTTGTGTATGTAAGTACACAGTACATTTGTTTGCATTCTCGATTCTCAATCACAACGTGACTTTACTTCTTTCCATGCCGTTTCAGCTGTTTTTTAAAGAGCGCCCTCCTACAATTTTAATGTGTTTCTTTTTGTTTTTACGACGTTCATATACGTTTATATATAATCGAAAGTTTTCCTTAAACATATACACAATAACACAATAAAGAGGAGCAATTAACGATGAGAAAATCCGAAAATAAAAGTATGTTAAATTACATAAATCCAAAGTCGTTCTAGCACTTAATATATGGGGTTGAGAATTCCTTGTTATTGTTTAAAACATCACTGAAAATGTTCATTACCCTTGTACTTTAATTTTACTGTATATATCGATGACACAAAATATCATAAATGCAGTGAAATATAACTGAACCGATTGTTGAACAACCTATTACTAATTTTCGCTGCCAACATTTTTTATTACAACAAATATGTAAAGTATATTGCAAAAATTAAAGCCAACAAAACCTTTTGATTTTAGGAAAAATAAATGAAATTCAGGAAATGCTAAATGTCGACCATGCTAACAAATTATCATGAAGCATAGTCAACTATATGCGTTAAAGGCACAAGTCTGCTAATGCTTTTCTCATTGTTTGCTTATGATTGAGGAATGATATCATATTAAGAGTAGGGTGCATAGCTAGACGTTTTGGGCTTCCTGTGACTAGTTTCTTGTCAAGGATCCAATTCTGAATCTTGTTTTTTCACTAAATCTAACTATGTTTGTTATCAAAATACATTTCAGCTTAATCAATTGCATCCTCCGAACACATGTCTGACATATAATGGTTTATGCCAACTTACTAGATTGTACGTATACTGCTCTTTTACATTTTAAATTAAGTACTAGTAACTTGTAATATATCAAACAAATTGTTATACTCATAAGATTGTGACAACTCAGCCTAAACTGGTGTCATATATAACGATATTCAAAATAAAATAGCTTTATTTGGTTGTCTTGACAGGAAATTTGTAAATCAATGTGTGTGATATATTGCAAGTTACTTAAAATCAGATAATATGAAATATCTTCCATGGTGATTTTACAAGATTATTATGGTATGAATCAAACAGGCATCTTTACATGCCATGCATACTTAAGTATAATTGTGAACGCTTGTAAACAATGTACTTTTGATAGAATTTACCGATTCTGGGTTGCCTTGATTGTTGTGAGAATTGCGCTAAGCTGTGGACAAACCATTGAGAAGTTACATTTCATAACAACAATCAACAAAATGTTCTGCCATATACCCCAAACAAAATTCAACACACTATTGGTATAGAAGTAAATTTTATTCATAACACACATTGGAAGTTGTTAATACATGCAGTAAATGGTTGAAATACAGCATGTTTTGCCATGTTCTGCGTAAATATAATGCTGACAATTCAGTTGCATAGGGTAAGTTATGCTGAGTTGGTAGAACAAAACTATGGAAGATATCATAGAATAAAAACACTTGCAAAACACTCAAATTTGCACCACTTATTACATCGGTAGTTTATACTGAAGGAAGCAGATATGAAATACTGATCAAACACAATGTGACAAAGAAAACTGTTGAAGGCATGACATGACAAATGTAATTTAAACAAATCAGATGTCTTCCATTTAATTTCAATTGTTATACTGAGAAACTTTGTAATGCTGATTTGAGGGTTTTTAAGTCCTGAAGTCACAATGACTAGATGGTAAATACGTCAGTGGTATAATGTAATACTTATTTAGGTTCGCATCTAAATGCCACATTGACTAGATAGTTAATACGTCAGTGGTATAATGTAATACTTATTTAGGTTTGCATCTAAAAGCCACATTGACTAGATAGTTAATACGTCAG